TCCTGGTTGGTGAACACATCAATGTGTCAGAGGGTGATGTGTTCTGATTCCATAAGGGGAGGGCAGGACCCTACCAAACCTTGCTCTGTCTTTTCATTTTATTTCTTATATAGTAAAGCTATATTAGAGGCAGGTGTGGTGCCTCTGAGCTAAATCCCTGGCAGTAAAGCTATATTAGAAAGTAAAGTGCTTTCCTGAGTTCTGTGAGTCATTCTAGCAAATTATCAAACTTAAGATGTAAGAAGCCCCGGGATGTACAGACAATTTGTCAGAAGTATGAGTGGTCTGGGGATTCTTGTGCTTGTTGTTTGCATTTACAAAGAGGGAAATCTTGTTTTGTTTTTTTTTGTACTGGGGATCTAATTCAGACCTTGTGCTTGACAGGCATTTGCGGTGCCACTGAGCTACATCCCTGGCTTCAGAGAGGAAAATCTTGGGATCTTGCCTTTAATTTGTGGGATCTGACACTAACTCTGGGGGATCAACATCAGAATTGGATTGCAGTATATGTAAAGGTATTATCTATGCCATCCAGAATATTCTGCTCCTTTAGCAGCTAAACCTTGGACAAGCAGTGGGTGTATCCTAGACACAGCCTTTTATTTGTTTTGTTTTGTCTTTTTGTTTTTTGAGACATGGTCTCCTTATGTAGCTCAGACTGGCCTTGAACTCACTATGTAGCCTAGGCTGGCCTTGAACTCATAGAGATCCTCCTGCCTCAGCCTCGAGAATGCTGGGATCACAGGTGTGAACCACCACCCCCAGTGACACAGGATTTTAGAGCTGAGTTATTTCTAAAATATTCAGCCTTGGCAATCTATTTCTTTTTTTTTTTTGTACCCGGGATTGAACTCGGGACCTTGAGCTTTCCAGGCAGGTGGCGGAACCGCTGAGCTAAATCCCCGGCCCAGCAATCTATTTCTTGTAGAAAGCCCACATGTCCCAGGAAAGTTAGCTGTTCAAACTGTCCCAAACTTGGAGTAGTAGAGTTATATTGTAGAGTACTACAGAGACCTAGCACTAAAATTCAAGTGGATTTTTTTTCCTATTTCCTTTTAAAAAATTTTTATTTTTATTAGTACATTTTTGCAGTACATAATGCATACATTCCTTGTAGGGAGTTGGTACAGTACATAATACATCTCAATTTCTTTTTATCCCTCCCCCTCCCTCTCTTTCTTGATCCCCTTCCCATTTGAGAAGGACCTATTTCCTTACTTTCTATTATCTATCTTTTATTTTGCTCTTTATTTATATTTTAGGTTTCTCATACAAGAGAAACCTTGTGACATTTATTTATTTATTTATTTTTGTACCAGGGATCGAACTCGGTTCCTTGCGCTTCCGCAGCAGGTGGCAAAACCCCTGAGCTAAATCCCCGGCCCCACCTTGTGATATTTAAACTCATGTGTCTGATTTATTTCATTATGGTCTCAGGGTGCATCCATTTTTTACAAGTGACTCAAGCTTATGGCAGAGTAGCACACCATTGTGTATAAATACCATATTTTCTTTATCCATTCATCTGTTGATGGACATACAGGCTGCTTCTAAGATTTAGCTGTTACGAATTGTGCTGTTATAAACATGGGTATGCATATATCACTGCAATATCCATTTTATGAGAAATATTATGATCTGCCGTGATTAGGCATTGTGAAAAAAGAGAGTGGTGATATGAAGAATTAGTTGTACTTTCAAGGAATTTTAAATGAAGTGGAAAAAAGAAATGTATGTAATTAATAATAATAATAATAGATAATAGAACTTAATAATAATATTAGTAATAATAGAACTTATTATTTTTTAGTACTTATGTGAATGCATATAAAAGGGAATAGAAGGTATTGATTTTGCCCAAGGGTGAAGTTCAGAGAACGCTTAATAAAGGAGGTGATATTTGGCTGAATCTTGAACAGGTTAGAATTCATCCAACAGAGAAAGATACTTTGTGTACAAAAAATAGCCAAGCAGTTTGGAAAAGGACAAGCGAAGTAGTGTAGCTAGAGGTAGAATACGTGATGGGGAGAGCTGGTCATGAGTGAAAGTAGGATAGGAATACTGGAAGGTGTCAGCCATCTGAGAACTTGGTGCAGGGTTGAATTTTTATGGAGTATCCAGCACAGTGCCTAGGACAGAATAGGAGCTTTATATTTGTTGAATCAAATATGAATGGATAAAGCCATGAAGAAGAAAGAAAAAGCCACAACTAGCCATCAAACAGATTTCTTACTATTCCTTCTCCCCAACTACCTGTTCAGTACAGGAGGATAAGGACAAAAGAACCTCAGATTCCATAGGAAAGGAGAGGGCACTGGTTGCTGATATTTTAAAATTTCACATATCTGTGGTGCTTCCTTTTAGGACTTGAGAATTCATGTAGCCAAATTTCTGGATTGACCAGAATGCAAACTGAGCTAGAGAGCGGAGGGGTTGTTCAAGTGCACACAGCTCACTGGTGGCTGAGCTGGACCTAGAGCCTGTGTTTTCTATTGCTCAACCCAGTGCTCTTTCCATTGTATCCAGCTGCCTCGCTGTGCTTTCAGCACTGCCCTTCAACCTGTGTTTTCTTTAGCTAGCTCCTCCTTTTTTCTCTCAGAAATAATTCTACAGTCCACTGTTTTCAAGTCTTCCACTCAGCCATTTTCCCACTGAGTTTCAGGAAGTGACATTGCCCCCATCTAATTTTTTTTTTGGTACCAGGAATCAAACTCAGGTCCTTGTGCTTGCACAGCAGGTGGCGAAACCACTGAGCTAAATCCCCAGGCCCCCCCACCTAATTTTTCAAGAACCCAGGTATTGTTATGGGCCTATCTCCTTCAGCTTCCTTTTTGTTTACAAGCCTATGTGTGGCTGGAGCTACACTTTTTCTCTGATGGTCTCAGTGGTTGCAATTGCCTTCCCCTCCTGCCCTCAAGACCATTCTTAGCTTTGTCCTTCCAACATCAGCTCCAGGCCTTGCTCTACTCCCCATCTTCTCCTTTAGACAGAAATGTGCTCAAGTTTCTCTTATGCTCCAAAAGCTTTCTTAGACTCTAGTTCCTCCTCCACCTACTACTCTAAATTTCTTTCTAGAATAGTCTACATTTGCCCTTTACCTTCTACTCATCCATTTGGCTTCCACTCATACTACCCCACCAAAACTCTTCTAAATCACCTATAACATTTATTTTGCCAAATCCCACAAACAAATTTTAAATATAGTTTTATATTGGTGGGCTCTCTTTAGCTTTCAGACTTTTGGTAATTTTCTCCTAGAAGCTTTCTGCTTCCTTGGTTTTCATGGTATTGTATTCATGTACAATAATCACTCATGTGATCATTAAAGCTCTTTGATCATTCTTTTATCTCTTTGAGATTTTTTTCTCTAACTATCCCTTAAAATGTGGTGTCTTACAGTTCCATTCTCAGCTCTGTCTTTCTCACATATCACATAGTACTTGTGTGATTTTATGGTTTTAGCTTCCCCCAGTGCTTCCAGAGAACAGGTGTCAACCTTAGTTCATCCACCTCCTATTGGATATTTTGAACTGGAAATTTGTACAAGGAGTTCATACTGAACCTTGTGCTCAGTGTGGCCATACTGAAACCTAACTCTCCAATTAGACTATGAGCTCTTTAGAACAAAAATTTTTTATTCATCTTTTTATCCTTCTGGGTATTAGGATCTCATCCATACTTTTGGTCAGTTGACCAACTGACCAACTAAATGAGTAAATACTACTTCTAACTCCAGCTCTGGATCAGAGAACATGTTACCTTTTCCTTTCAGTTTCTTTGCCTGCCATTTGGGGCTATGATCAAGCCTAAGATGGCGGCAGCAGGCCTCTCTCTAGCTAGCTAAGGTCTCTGTTTTGATTTCTCAGAAAGAAGGACCTTATCTCTCCCTTGGACTCTGCTTCTCTCCAGCAAAGAACAGTAAGAGGCTTAATTTTTGCCTCTCCTTTGAATTCTAAGGTGATAGCTGAGGTCAGGTCAAGGTTAGGATTCCAATATCTCCATCTTCTGGGAGATGACCTCTTCCTGTACTCCCTTCCTCAGGCTGCCAGACCCTGTAGCAGGTTCTTACCTTGGAGAAGAATGATCACCAGGATAAGGCCAGCCAGGCCCTTCCCCTGCTCCATGTCAGTCTCTGTCCTTCCCCCGCGGAACTGCAGAGCAGCCCCTCATGGCCAGCAGCCTGTGTAGCACCTAGCCTGGCTCCGCCCAGCACCCTTCAGACTGGGTGCCTGACAGAAGACAAGAATCCACTGCCTCCACCCTCAGCTTTGAGTGCAGCCTGCAGAGGCCTAAGCAGGGCTGCAGGTGTGCATGCTTTTTGCTTTTCCGTTGAGGGGTGCAGGGTGTAGGAGGGAGGGCTGAATTCCCATGCAAAGACTAGGCTTGACCTGAGAATCACTTCTGATACTGGGTTGGGGGATGAGCCTGAGCCCTTTTCCGAAGAAGGGAGATAAATGTCCCTGCCCCCAGTTGTTGCTAGGATCACAGCCAGTTGTCATTGATGCTAGAACTAATGAATTTAGGCTGGACTCTCAGATGCTTGGGTCTGAGGGCATGAATGGAAAAACATCTCAGTCCCAGCCTTCACTAAAGGTTTTTGTCACTGTTCTTTTGAGATCATCAGCGTGGTTGGTGCTTGCCTGGAAGGGAGTAAGTGGGACAATTCCAATCAGTCAGCACATTTCTGCACTTTTGGGGGTGGGTGGTAGACGGGCAGGCCTGTGCTGAGTTTCCAGGATCTCAGACCTCTGTCTCCCTCAGCCAGTCAATAAATCAACAATAATTAACAGAATTCTCATTATATGTGGGGCACAAGCAAAATAGAGAAGTGAGCAAGACTGACATAGCTCTCTGTCTTCAGGTACATGACATCCAACTGGGGCAGTTTGGAGTTTCAGATTCCCATTGGTCATTGGGGGTAAAAAAGGTCCACAGTAGGGCCAGGGATGTAGCTCAGTGGTGCCGCACCTGCCTGGCAAGCACAAGGTCCTGAGTTCGATTCCCAGTGCCAGAAAAAAAAAAAAAAAGGTCCGTAGACCTTTGGGGAGGTTCAAATTTGCCCTAAGTTAATCACATTGCTATTAATAACTACTTCTTACTGATCGTATTTATGTGGCAGGCACCATGTCACTTTTAAAAATCCTTATAATGATACTCTAAGAATCAGGCTCAGAAAAATTATTTGACTGGCCCTGAGGGTACCAAGTATTGGAGCTAGGATTCAAATATCTATGTGTGTGGCTCTAAAGTCCAACTTCCCACTGGCTAGAAGCTGCTTCATCTGGTGTCCAGGGTGCCCAGTGAAGGGTCCCAAGAAAGACCGTAATAGGAGCAACCTAGCTGAAATGGCTTATGCCTTGAGGCTCTTAGCCTCTCTCAAAGGCTTTGACAGGTAGCAGTTTTTAGGTGAGAGATAAATGTAGTTATGGTGCTAATAGGGACTCTGAAGTTCTCGGTTTTTCATTAGGACTCAGGAAAGACCGTCCTAAGTTTCCTTTTGCCTCCTAAAAGTCTGGGTAGCTTTCTCCATATTCTCTGCCTTCAGCTCCACCCCCAACCTCTCTGCTCAGAGAAAGAGCAATTTGCACCTGCTTCCTTCCTACCCCACCACTTGCTACTCTTGCCTTTATGGCCTCTCATCATGAAAGGCAGAGAGGCAGACATCTTCTAGTTCCTTTGCTACACTTCACTTTTTCCGAATACCCATGAGTCAGTTGGAGGAGGGTAGCCCTCACCCCAGCTGGTAGTTCCGTGATCTGGCTCTGTCTACTGGATGAATTCTGCTGAAAGATGAAACATAGCAGGTTTCTGACTGGTCTGGTCCTGGCTGCCCTTCTCCCTCAAGGTAAGTAAGACTTCTCCAGGTGAAGGAAAGGAACTGAGAGGGACATTAGCACTGGGAGTGAGGTCCACTAGAAGGTGGTTTGCAAAACTAACTTTAATTCACCAGGCACCTGGGCAGGGCTGGGATGAAGGAAACAGGTGCTGGGCTTTCAACTACTTTGGCCAGGGCAGCTGTTGGCCTTGAATGTCTTTCAAATGGTCTTTGGCCAGAGATCTGTGGGAAATGGCTCAGTATGTGTAGGTCTGAGCCTAGGGTTGGATGGGGGAGCAGAGCTACATGGACTGTTTCTTCTATAGCAGATAGCTTCTGAGGTCTGGACTCTTGTTCATTTGGCCACCATTATGTGACCACCTGGAGCCATGCCCTAGGACTTAGGGGACTGCTTTAAGAGAAAAGATAGATTTGGTGATGGGACAGGAGATCATTGCATGCTCTGTAGAATGCTAACTCATCATAGTTTGCCTGGTTTTAAAACTGAAAATTGCAGTTACTTGAGAGACTGAGGCAGGAGGATCCCTTTAGCCTAGGAGTTTGAGACCTGTCTGGGCAACATAGTAAGACCCCCTCACCAAAAAAAAAATAAAACTGAAAACTGGACTGGGGACATAGGTCAGTGGCAGAGCACTGCAAAAGAAAAGAAAACAAAAGTCCCTGGAAAATCCCATGTCCCAGGAACCTCCTCAGCCCTAGGAAAACTGGGTCAAATAGTCACCTTGATAGTTGCACTGGGATCCACAAGTTCACTGGAAACAACTCCAAGGATGACTAAAAGAGGTGAAGCAGTTGATGTGTGTGTGTCTCCCTGAGTGTACGCACATAGACTCCTGCCCTCATTCAGAGGCACAAGAAGCAGCTGTTTTGGAGTTTTCTTGTGTCCAAATTGGTGCTGAGTATAAAGCTCAGGGTGAACATAGCTTTCACTCTTTCTTGGGATGAGCAGTATGGATGCCAGTGCTCTGTGGACCTGGAGATACTCTTACAATTCAGTGGATCTAGAAAAGCATTATTTTCACCTCTGGCCCTTACACTTCCCGTAAGATTTGACTTATGGAGCTTCAAGAACAGATTTGATAAACATTTTTTTTTCTGTCCCAGTCCCCTTAACCAAGAGGGGAGCAATTGAATTTTTTTGCATGAGATTTGCTCTGGTAAATCTGGACCTATGTTTGTGTTTTTGTTTTTGCGGTACCGGGGATCGAACTCAAGACCTTGTGCTTGTGAGGCAGGAGTGGTGCCACTGAGCTAAATCCCCAGCCCAATCTGGACCTATGGGTTGGGGGTTCATACCAGTTCCTTCCTGCCTCAGTTATCGTTGAGCCTTGGCAAGTCTTTAGCATTGAGTTTCCCATCCCCTTGTTAAATGTTGGGGAAGAGCAATGGGAAGAGGAGAGGACCAGAAGTTGAAATGGGAGTGTTGTCATGGGACGGGAATTAGAATTAGATGCTTTCTAGTAGAAAAATGCAGGCATTTCCAAAATGGAAATAGTCTCTTGCCTTTCCCTTTCCCATGGGACGCTTTATCAGTCTATGCTCCCCTTCTGTTTCTATTTTTTATTTTTCACCTATTTTGAGACAGGGCCTCACTATGTAATCAGGCTGGCCTTGAACTCACTGTGTACCTCAGAACTCACTGTGACCCTCTTGTCTCAGCCTCTTGAGTGCCTGGCTTCCCCTTCTACTTCTTCTTCTTTTTTTGGTACTGGGGATCGAGCTCACGACCTTGTGCTTGAGAGGCAGGCGCAGTGCTGCTGAGCTAAATCCCCAGCCTCTCCTACTTCTAATCAGTGGTCTGAACTCATTTTCAGGAAGATTCTTGAATCAACTCAGCTTCATGGTTTTCTCTGTTGTCCCAAGTCCCTTAAGACCTGTATTCTTCTTGGACTGCAGTCTCATGTCCTTCCTGGCCTCTGTGATTCATAGGAAACTTCTGGAAGCTTTCATTTTTCACTCCTGCCCTGCTCACTAGAAACCATAAACTGTTCTAGAGTACCATGGTGGTCACCAGTGGAACAGGGAGGCTAGTGCAGAGTACCAGCTGTCTCTGACTGCGGTATTTCTTTCCCTTAGTGAACCCCTTCCAGATACCTGTGGAGGAATTTGAGGACAAAGTATTTGTGGATTGCAATACCAGCGTCACATGGCTAGATGGAACAGTAGGGACAAAGAGAGCAAATGGTGTCCGTCTGGACTTGGGAAAACGTCTCCTGGATCCACGAGGAGTGTATAAGTGTTTGGGGACCGATATATATGACAAGAAAGAATCTACTGTGCAAGTATATTATCGAAGTATGTGCCTCCTGGACCCTCTGGACTAGAGTGGTGGGGCCTCTGGATGTGAGAACTTTCTGGCTAGAAGGGGATGTGGTGAATCAACCTATTCTCTAAACAAACTGAGGTCACTGTTGCAATGGTGTTAGCCAGATTTGGGGGCCTGCAGAGTGGGAGTGAGTGCTTACCTAAGCCAGGCTGGGGAGTAGGGGCCTTGTTCCTGCAGGCTTGGTTGTGGGGGGGGGGAAGGTGTAGCTCACCACCTAGTTTAAGGTGTCTGCAGTTGAGATGATTTCTTGGTTCCCTTCAGGAACTCCTTGGGATGAGGATAAAAAGATGGAAGTGGCAAGGGCATCAGCAGCCTTTGTCCGTGGATCTTACTGAAGTTTAGGTCGTGTCATGAGATCATAGGGTAGCACCAGCAGGCAGGGTCATTCCCTGATCTTAAAAGCAATCTAGCCCTCCCCTCTCTTTCTTTCTCCAGTGTGCCAGAGCTGTGTGGAGATGGACTCCGCCACCCTTGCTGGCATCATTGTCACTGACATCATTGCCACTCTGCTCCTTGCTTTGGGAGTCTACTGCTTTGCAGGACATGAGACTGGAAGGCTCTCTGGAGGTTAGTGAAAGAGCAGAATGTGTGCGTGTGCCATGTGCATATGTGTGTGTGTGTGTGTGTGTGTGTATGTGTGTGTATACCACTGAACTCCTGAATCAGCTGAATGGTCTCATCTGGGAGTCACTCTTGCAATGTCTACAAACTCCTTCTATGGTTTATTGAAAGCACTCATGTACCCACATTGCTTACGGAGATTTCTGAGGGTATGGGAGGGCGTGGCCTGATGCAGATCCGGGTGCAATTTTCATGAGTCTCAATGTCCCTTCTTCCCCGCCCCTCCTTATAACTCTTTCCTGGTTCTTTCAGGGGCTGACACTCAAGCTCTGTTGAAGAATGACCAGCTTTATCAGGTGAGCATGGCAGGGAGGAGGCAGGAAGAGAAAGAGGAGTGAGTGGGGACCAAGAGGCTAAGCTGTGTTGTGTGAAAAGTCCTGGTGAGGAACTCATCATTGGAGAGGGTTGGGGAGGGGAGGAACAAGCTATCATCTCCAGGATCTGCTGGGACTCTTCCCGAGAGAGTTCTGACCTGACTCACTGCCTCCCTTCTCATCTCTTAGCCTCTGCGAGATCGTGAGGATGCTCAGTACAGCCGTCTTGGAGAAAACTGGCACCGGAGCAAATGATCCCAAGGCTGGTGGCTTCTAGAAGCACATTGTGAACTATTCCATTCCTCCTTGCTTGGCCAATAAAGATGTTCTCTTCCATTCAGCTAATGCCTGTGCTTCTCAAGGCTCTTGGGCAGGGCTTGGGAATTGTCCCGAAGGGCTGGGCCCTTGCCCACCTAAGTAGTTCCTTCATTTCCTCCATTCTGCCTCACACAGACAGTGTGATGGGCTGTCCCCTACCATGTCATGGCCCACTGGTGTCTCTAGGCCAGTGAGTTTTCTGGCTGAAAGATCTCCCTTCCACACTTCCTCTGCTACTTGTTGACTCCAGTCCCCAATCATAAGCCTTCCGAGGGCGGGGTGTTGTGTTTAGGAGCTTTGCCACAGAGAATTTTCATGACATCATGAGTGGGGGTGGGAACAACATCAAGGGGCTCAGTGACTTCTTTCTTATCACAGCTCAGAGGGTGTGTGCTACAAAGTCCCATTGCTGCTAAAGGGCTGGCTGTGACTTTATGTCCCTGTTGAATAGCTGCCACTAGATGTGAAAAAAAATGTCTCTTTTCCCTCTATGGAAGGTACCATTTTATCTTCCTTCCCCAGTACCTGTTCCTGCCCTGCTCCTGCCCTCTGCATGATAAAGTGGGACCAGAAACCCTTCATCAAATTAAAACAACTTATTGCTCTCTGCCTGCTGGGAAAGCTGGTGTTGAGACTAAGAGGGGGCTTGGGAAATTTTCAGTAGGTGTCTTCTTTAGCCAGGGGGTTAAGTGGTGGTTCTCAAACTTTGGGAGCCTGAGAGATTTATTAAACAAAAATGTAGATCTTTGTGCCTTACTCTCTAGGAATAGGGTCCCCAGGTGATTCTGAAGCAGCCCAAATTCAGAGTCTCTGGTTTAGAGGAAGAACCGAGGCCACTTACTCTCTTGTGTCCTTTATTTCTCCTCCTGGATCCTCCAGCTGGGAATCTTTTTGTTTTCTGGATCCACAAGTAATTTATAGCCAGGGATTTAGCTCAGTGGCTCCGGTGCCTGCCTCGAAAGTGCAAGGTCCTGGGTTCCATCCCCAGTGCCAAAAAAAAAAGTAATTTACAGAACTTCAGGACAGCTTAATGACAGTGGGAGTTTCCTAGACTCAAATTTCCAAAGGAAAAAAGAGCTAACATCCACTTAGCCAGAGACATGGATGATTCTGACCACCATCTCCTTGAGATATAAGCAGAACTTAATTTCATAACTCATTGAGCTTTCAATTTACATATACTTCATTCAAAGTTATAATTTATTTTTACTCCTTGTATAGTTTTTCTAACTCTAGACAGGTGATGATGAATCTTTTAGAAACTGAGTGCCCAAACTGTAACCCAAAATCCACTTATTTATTGCAAAGTGCCGACACTGCAATTACACTTGAATACTGAGGTTTTAGTTTAGAAAAAACTCTTCATATATTAACATCTTTTATCTTAAGAGAAAAACAACACGTGTGCCATAGGTTTGCCACTACTGCCCTAGAGCCTACTTTCACATTGAATCCCTCTACCTTGAGCATCCCTTCCACAGCCTGTATTTCACCAACATTTTGGATCCTTCATGTACCCTGCATACCTCCTTATACCTTGAGTTCCTTATATTGACTTACGTGCCCTATCCACCAGATCTTAACACTGGCTGACCATTGGAGTCTTGTGGAAAGTTTAAAAATACTGATATCTGGATACCATCCTCAGAATTTCTGAATTTATAGATCTAGGGTACAGATAACCCTTAGGACTTTGATCAGATCTGGGGAACTGGTATATCTACTACCTCAGACAATATTTCTCTGTGTTGAGGACAGTCAAAATTCTTTCTATTGGATATTTTGAATACACAACAGGTATTATCAACCGTAGTTATCCTACTGTGCTACAGAACATTAGATATTATTTCTCTCATCCAACTGCACCCCTGTATTTGTTAACTAGCCTCTCTCCATCCCTGCTCCAACTGCTACATGGGCCTCAGGGCTTTCAAAACTGTGCAAGGTGATTCTGATGTGAAACCAAGATTGAGAGGCACTTATTACTCTCCATCTGAGCCCTTCTGGAAACTTCTCTCTCTCCTTCCCTCCTTTAATTTAGTTTTATTATTTTATTTTATTGGTTGTTTTTTTTTGAGATAGTGTCTTACTATGTAGTTTAGGTTGGCCTTGAACTGATGGTGATCCTCCTGGGTATTTTACACAGACAGTCATGATATCTGTTAATAGAAACAATTCAACTTTTTCCTTTCCTGTTGGATGTGTCTTATTTCTGTTTCTTGGCTTATTGGACTGGCTAAAACTTCCAGTAGAATGCTGAATAAGAGTGGACAAGTCAGGTGTGGTGGTGCACGCCTGTAATCCCAACTACTTGGGAGGATGAGGCAGGAGGATTACAAGTTCAAGGCCAGCAATGTTAGCAAGACCTTGTCTCAAAATAAAATAAAAAAGGGCTAGGGAAGAGGACATCCTTGCCTTGTTGGTCATCTTAGAAGAAGAGCGTTGTTTTTTTTTAAATCATTAAGCATGTTAGTTGTAGTTTTTTCTTAGATATCTTTCAACAGGTTGAGGAATGTCTCTTTCCTCATTGTAGTTTGCTGAGAATTTTTTTCCCCCAAAATAGATGTTGAGCATTGTCAAATGCTCATGCATTGATAGGGATGACTATAATTTTACTTTTTTAGTCTGTTATATGGTAAATTATTATGATGGCATGATCTGTTAAACCAATTTTGTATTCCAGGGCCAGAGATTTAGCTCAGTGTTTCCACCACCTGTCTTGCAAGCACAAGGTCTTGAGTTTGATCCCTGGTACCAAAAATAAAAAAGATTTCAGGACCTCCTAGAGGCTGCTTCCTGCTAGTACCTCTCTCCTGGCTGCAGCCCTTCTGTACTGCCTAGCCTAGAGGTGGCCAAGCTCCATGAAAAAGGGAGCTGATTTCCCTGTGGATTTTTTTTTTTTGGCGGTACCTGGGATCGAACTCAGGACCTTGCACTTGCCAGGCAGGCATGGTGTCACTGAGCTACATCCCCAGCCCCATGGATGGGTTTTGATAAGGATATAAACTGATTTTTCCATTTTGGCCATGGAAGAATGTTCACCATATTTGGATTTGCTTTACTTCTTGGATACAGATTTTGCCAAACTAATGTGAAAGTTGATGATTGAGAGGAAAAATTGCAAACCTCATTTATAGCAAGACTGATGGTATAATTATTTAGAAGTACAATACTGACATTGGATCATCTCCTAAGATTCAAACTTTGAAAGGCTGTGGCTGGGGAGTACAGTCATTCACACACGTGGAACTTGCCCAATGATCTTCCATTAGAAAGATCTCCTTGTTCAGCTAAACCACCAGAAATGGTGAAAAAGAGGTGCTCCTTCCCAATCAAACTCATCCAGATGGAAAAAAAAAAAGAAAAGAAAAGAAGTGTATCTATATTCATTTGGTCTGAAGTTTTCTTTTAATATCTTTGTTTAACACCTTTGATATCAAGGTGTGTATGATTCTTCAAATAACAGGCAACCACCTACATACATGTCCTATTGGTTCTGTTTCTCTAGTAAAATTGGTTCATGTGGGCTGGGGATTTAGCTCATTGGCACCGTGCCTGCCTTGCAATTTCAAGGTTCTGAGTTCAATCCCTGGTTAAAAAAAAAAAAAAATTGGCTCATGTGTTTGGAGAAGCATGTCCAAAGTTTGCAGGGTATTCTGGTAGCCTGGAGACCCAGGGAGGAGTGGATGTTGCGGCTAAAGATAGTGTGGAGGCAAAATTCCCTCTTTAAAGGACCTCAGTTTCTTTGCCCTTCAGTTGAAGAGATGAGGTTCACCCACATTATGAAGGGTGATCCACTTTACTCAAAGTCTACTGACTTAAATGCTAATCTTATCTAAGAAATACTTTATAGCAACATCCAGATGTATTTGACCATATATCTGAATACTGTGGCCTACTCAAGTTGACACACAAAATCAACTAGAAAAATCAACACAGGGCAAGTCTGGTCTCTATAGAACAATTTGCAAGTATTGTCTCTTCAATTTTCTGGAGGAATCAGTACAGAATTGACATTATTGCTGCCTTTCACGTTTGGTAGATTTTAGCAGTGAAGTCATCTGAATTTGAAGTTTTCTTTGTAGGAAAGTTTTTATAGATTCAACCTATTTAAAAGGTAAAGGGCTATTCAAGTTATCTTTCATCTTCAGTGAGCTTTTTCAAGGAATGTGCCAATCTCATCCAAGTTGTTAAATTCATCAGCACAAAATTGTTCAGAACTGTTGTGGACTGAATGTCTGAGTTCCTTCCAAATTCAAATGTTTAAATCTTGACCCCCAATTCCATAGCATTAGGAAGTGGGGCCTTTCAGAGGTGATTATGCCTTGAGGGAGGGGTTCTTACTAATGGGATTAGTGCCCTTATAAAAAAGCCGCCAAAGAGATCACTTGTCCCCTTCTGTTATATGAACACACAGCTCTTCTCAATGTCCCTTGAATTATGAGAGCACAGCAATGATTTCCAGCCCTGTGTGAGGTCGAAAGATTCCTCTGATCCTTTCAGGGAATTTTTTCTTTAGCTTCTGGAAGTCTCCTCTCAAGTATGTACCGACCACTATTAACCTGAGGACTTGAGAGGGACCCTCTTCAGATCTCTGGAGTTCTCCCTGGGCATCTCACTCCTCTCTTGAACTCTCTCCTACAAACTGTAGAAGCTTTGGTCTCCATCCTTGTCTGCTGACCTCAGGGAGATCTTGGGGCTCTGCTTAGTTCTCCCTTCCTGCAACACAGCCTAGAAACTGTGTCTAGATTGTAAGCTGGAGCAATATTAGGGTTCATCTTATTTGCTTCCCATCCTTAAGGGTCATTTCCCATTGTTGCCTGATATTGAATGCTTTAAAATTTATTGTTTTAACCTATTTTGTCTCATGTTTTAGTTTTTTTCAGGCAGGAGAATATATTCAATTCTTGTTACTTCATCTTGGCCAGTGGCAGAAATCAATCTTTTCTTCCATCTGTCTAATATTTTCCTTTATTCTATATTCCTCCTTTCCACTGTGTCCAACCTCAAACCTGCATCCCACTGCAATTCCTTTTTTTTGGTACCAGGGATCGGACTCAGGACCTTACACTTGCCAGGCAGCCATTGTGCCACTGAGCTACATCCCCGGCCCCACTGCAATTCTGTAGTCTTTCTATAGGGTGTATCCTTCCTATCCTTTGCATCCCATATATAATCTACAGCCCTGACATACCGCTTATATTCCTCACCTCACCATTTGCCTTTTTCCTGCATTACTTTACCGCTGCCCCAAGTAGGAAATCTACTCAGAGTTTCAGCTCCACTTCTGTCCCTCCATCTGTCTTTCCAAAGACATCAGATAGGATGGAAAGCATTCCTTATGGCCGCAATCAGTACTGGGTAGATGTTGAAAGGATATGTTGGACAAGCTTTGGCTTTGAATTCCAGCTAGGCCCCTCACCGTGACTTGTGCAAATGACTTAACCTCTCTCAGCTTCACTATTTTCATCTGCAAAATGAGGATGATGACATCTATCTTGTGGAGTCATCATAAAGATGAAATGAGATGATATATATAAACTGCTCCATAGTTTCTGGAGCATAGTAAATGCTCAATAAACATTAGCTGTTCTTGTTTTTATCACACTGAGCCAAGTCTTCCCTTGTCTGAGTGCAATCAAATACATGTAGAACAAAATTGCCAACCTCGAGCCAGTCTCCAACGAGCAGCTAGTGGTAAGCAACATCACTGAGACTCCTTTTGAGCAAGAGTTGGTGCTTAGAAGTGACATTTCAACAGGGATGACAAGGAAAAGCTGTAGTCACAAGGCCAAGGCTGAATGTGTACAGCATGTGAAGGGCTACTAATCAAAAAAGGCCTTTTTTGTTTTGTAGTCATACACATAAACAGCCTTGTGGTCCACAGGAGGTTTCTGAGTGCAGAGAGGAAGAGGAGAGGCTGGTCTGAGCTGGGCGAGGACAGCTCCTTCACGTTCTGCCCTCCTCTCTGCAAGCTAAGTGCACGCTATGGGAGACAGAGAATGAGGTCTTCCCACACTGGTCTCTGGGCGCCTGTGTGCTCACTCCCTGCACAGCCCACATCCTGCTCTGCCTAACCGCAGCCTGCTTTGCTGCAGCAGGTGCCTCCTGCACAGGAGGGAGGGGCAGCCTGCTTAGGAGACCCCCTTCCTCCACTTCCTTCAGCCTTAGCTCAGTGGCTCTTCCTGGCACCTTATGGAAACAAATGTCATATTCCCAAGAGCCCTCTCATGCCTCCTCTTTTGTCACTCTTCTCTTTTTTGTTATCTCCCTCTGCCTTTCATAGGCCCTGTTTCTATCTTGCCCATTTTATGAACTGACCACTCCATCAGGGATCTATCAGGCACTCTCTCCATCTGTGATGTTTTCCTACAAGAAGAGTTAGTTAAATTTCCTCTCTCTCTCTCTTTCCTATTTCCTTTCTCAAAGGAGAGCTTCAGGTAATGCCCCCCGCCCCGCCGCGCCCCATCAGCTGGGAAAACAGGCTATACTTGCACTTGGAACCATACTGCAAGCACTGATTTCATTTAAAGGTGGGGAGAACCTGAGTCGTCTTAGGAAATAAGGTAGCCTCTGAGAAGCTCCCAGGAAAGAGACAGCAACTCTTTCAGCCCAAATATACTTTATTGCTTTTCTATCATACAGTGGCCTACAGTGAAGACTAGGGAGGGGGCTCAGGGTGGACTCTGGACCTGGATCTGAGAATGAGGCAGGGCCCCTGTCAACCTTTACCCAGTCCTTCCCCACAGAAGGTTGGAAAAGAGAAAGCCAGAAAAATAAAAAGTTGCATGGAATTGTTAGGGGAAAGGGGCAACTTATATGGAGGAAAAAGAGGGTACTGAAGGCAGAAATAACATCCACGTAGGGGGAAGAGTCAGCAGAGAGTGAATAATAGAAATAAATATGCTGATAAGAGGGCAGGCCAGGTGTGAGGGCCTGAGTAGCCACGCTGTTTCAAAGGACAACAAAGCAGCAATAGCCTACAACTGGATGCCAGCAGTGAAGACAGGAAGAGGGGAGCAAGGGACAAGGCTGTAGGGCCTGAATTCACCATGAGACTGAAGAACAATTCTCTTTGTGGGGTCCAAGACTTGCCCAGGGGAAAAGGAATAGCAGGATGCCCCAGGAGAGCCAGGCCTGAGCATTGTCCTCTGGCGCCGTCAGACTCCTCTCTGATTTAGGCCGGAATACAGGTCCCGTTGGCCTTTCCGGATCGGCTAGGAGCAGGACAGAGCGGGTGATTAACAAGGCAAGAGGAAGTCGAGCCTAAGGAAAAAGGGTGCTAAGATCTAGCTGCAGTGCAGTGGAAAAAACTAAGCTTGGAATTAGAGGTTTGAAATCTACAGTTTGCATGAACAGGTAGGAGACTTGAGCCAGTCCCCTGTGAGTAGCTTTCATGTTTCAAAAAGGAGACTCAATCTAAAGACTTGCGTCTCAGAGCTTTGGTTGGGGTCAGATGAAGTCACGTATGGGACGGTAAATACCATATGCTTTGCTGGTGCTCAATAAATATTTGTTGAGTTTACCAGGTATGATAATCAAAATATTCAGCAGGGGGCAATGCACACCCACTGACCAGTGAGAACCACACTAGTGGTCTTGGCCTAGGCCAGGAGTTAGGTCTTTAATTAGGAAATTAAGAGGCAGCTGGGTGGGAGAAAGGCTGTCTTGTCTGACAGTGTGTGTGGGTGGGATGAGGGGAAGCTTGGGCTGTTTGCCAATGAAGTATTTTAAAAATTTGTCATATTTTAATAACTGGTTGACTGCCTTGGTGCATGCTGGTGGACTGTCAGCCCTGAGCTTATCATGTTAGAGTTTACATATGAGGTGTTTTCCATGGCTGTGGTCCAGCCAAAGTGTAAGCCAGGGGAAGAAAAGTGTGTTCCCCACAACTCCTTCTCTCCATGCCTGTAGAAGCCAAGCAGGGTTTGTGATGATCCCTGCCTTGAAGGAGGCAGAGGTGGGCACATGGTGGGTTGTCCTGGGACCCCTGAGTGAGGAGCTCTGGAGTATCTGGAGGTGTGATGGGCACTCCTATCTGTTCCCCTGCCCCTTAAAGGCCACCCCAAGGCCAGCTTCCCACCCACTCTATCCGGTTACCTCGTAGTCTGGGTTTGGAACAGGTGGTGGCCTCTCCTTGCTTTGTCCTGTATAGGAGAGAAGGTAAAAGTATTTTTTCCCCACGAAGGAACATTAAGCTTGTAGGGCTGACTGCTGCAGTGGCATGAGCTCAAGGATGGCAGCCCCTTTGTCCTTCCTTCTATGTCTCACTTATCCATGAAGCAGCTCTTTTCTTTCTTTCTTTCTTTTTCTTTCTTTCTTTCTCTCTCTTTCTTTCTTTCTTTCTTTCTTTCTTTCTTTCTTTCTTTCTTTCT